CCCAATAAACTGACCTGGGTGTCAGAGAACAGAACAGCCACTATATTAAACGTAGAGGTTAGTGGTAGCACACACCTTTATTCCTAGCATTCTGGAGGCAGAGATTCATCCAGAGCTCTGTGAGTTCAAGGCCACACTGGAAACAGCCAGGCGTGGTGACACACACCTTTAATCGCAGGGCTTGTGATCTACTGTCTTGCTTGGGAAAGACTCACGCCTTTAATCCCAGGAAGTGATGGCAGGAAGCAGAAAGGTATATAAGGTGTGAGGACCACGAACTAGAGCCCTTTTAGGCTTTTAAGCTTTTAGCAGCAGTTCAGCTGAGATCAATGAGGACGCAGAGGCTTTCAGTCTGAGGAAACGGGATCGGCTGAGAAATTGGCAAGGTGAGGTCAGCTGTGGCTTGTTCCGTTTCTCTGATCTTTCAGCGTTCACCCCAATACCTGGCTTCTGAGTTTTTTATTAATAAGACCGTTTAGCGATGCGTGTTATACTGTGTTCAGGAGCGGTGGTGCAGGGCACATGGCTGACATCATAGCAGGTAAAGGAGTCTGTCTCAGCATCCGCTGGCGGCCTCGGATACACCCCGGCTGTGTATTTAGCAGTTTTGATTTTGCTTAAACAAGCTGTCTACCAAGGTATCACTCACCACATGATTTAGAATGGCTCACATATCCCAGTATGTTGAGAGAATTTTGTAACATTTGATTCAGGTTGTGTTTAAATCAAGTTAACTTTCGGTTCTAGAGGAACTTTACCCAATACACAGTTATGCAACTTCAAAAACATACTTTAAAAGCCAGAGAGTTCACAATAAGACTACCATCTAACGCTGAACTATTTCAAATTAGGGAACTATTTGGACAGAGAAGGGGTCTATCAAGAACATTCTCAGCTAGACTTGACAAAAAAGAAGAAAACTACACCTTTGCGTTTTTGCTGTAACTCAAACTTTTGATAAGTAGTTGTTCTGCGAACACTGGAAATAGAGTTCATCTAATAACAATTCATTAGAAATGGGGAGGGCAGTGTTCAGCCAAGATAACTGATGGAAAGGAGTCATAACCAATTAGTACACCAATAACAACTGGAAATATCAAATGCTCCAGTCTTTTAAGAAACCACACACACACACACACACACACACACATCTCAATTGCTATAAGAGTCATATAAATTGTCTGGCATTTTTACTTTTAAAACTTAGCCAGATGCATCTGGCAGCTTTCTAAATGCCTGACTTTATCTAATTCATTTACCCACACTTCCGCCCTAACAGCAAGTGACGTAAGAGCTCAGCACTACAGGTTTTCTCAGTGAGCTCAGGCCCCGGGCTGCAGTCTGAGCACCGTGTGGAAAGATAGATTAACGCCCAGAGTCAGAACCCAGCCAAGCAGATTGGAGAGTAATGGGGGAATTGTAAAGCCTTCTACCTCAGCTGCAATCAAAGCCAACCCCTGCAAACACATCAGCCAAGAGCCGAGAAAAGAAAGAGTGCTTCCAGAAGCCACCTGTTCAAAGTTTTCTTACTAAAAGTGACCACAGAATGCCATCCGAACAGGTGAATGTTTACGCTCATGAAGTAGACAACAGATGAGTTCGTTTTCATGGATTCTTCTAAGATTGTCTCAGAATGACTCCAAGAAGCGCGTTTGTTTCCATTTTCGCTAGAGAGAGATTGCCAAAAAAGCTGAGCCGAGCACTTTGTTGTTGTTCCCCTGAGGGTGTCCATGCTTTGGGTCCCAGGAATTTAGTGATGCCTCAGCTACATGTGCTTCCTTTCTTGGTGTCATGATTTTATTCTCCTTCCCCTTTGATCCTGTCTCCAGATACGCCTCCGGGTCTGCCTATGACGTGCTCAGCGACAAAGCACTCAGAGATAGTTGATTCTTCCTTTTCAGAATATGCGTTCTGGTTAGACACCCAAATTCAAAGACCCTTTTCACTCTACCATACTCAAAGGTTAAAAAAAAGTATGTCCCTTGAAATAGAAGCATTTTTACAAAAAAAAAAAAAAATCACAAATTTGGAAAATCAGAAATTAGATTTAATTTGCAGACGATACTGCTCTCCACACTTTCTTTATGATCCCATGAAGTCCTTTCTATACAATCAGTTATACCTTTGTGATGGAAAGGTTTTCTTGATTATTCACCACCAGACCCCTAAACAGTTAATGTTTTAAGCCTGTGTCTTGGGGCGATGGCAGTCACAGGTTCTGTTTTAAATTAAACACCTAATTATAAGGAAGCCGTTCATAACAAGTAATGTATATAAATCAAAATGGAATAATGGGGTCCCTACACATGTCCCCCTTTCTCACAAAGTCTTTGGAACATTCTCTGGGACCAGAAAACAACAACAACAACAACTGAAATTTGTCAATGAGCAAAGCCGCAGGCAGGTATTCTTGCTGAGTATGCAAATCAGTCGCCAATCCGAGCGGGCGGCATGTTTTGGTGGGAGCGAACAGCAGTTGGCACGTGCTTTCCAGCAACGCCCTAGGAGACACTGTGTCCTCGCAGGCCGTGCTGCAGCTCTCACTGGCATCACTTTGCTTCCTTCTGGCCAGGATCTAACTCCATCCAGACTAGGAGGAAAAAAAAAAAAGTCTCAACCTTTGGGTGAAAAGTGAGTGCTTTCAGAAAATCCCATAAAAAAAAAAAAAAAAGACTCCACACATAATGGGGCTTTTAACTGCTCCCTAAGCCATTTTTCTTCTTCTTCAGGTTGGAGGTTACAAGGTACTTTTTAAAATGGTTTTAACACTTGCCGGTCACTGAGAAGATTAAAGGCATAAACGGCTGAGACTGGATGGCAAGGCCGCTACCAAAGGCTTCGCGCCACCCCTGCGTCGATGATGATGACGAAGACGACGACGACGACGACACCTCCTTTTCATTTCTCTGCATTCAGAAGCTTACAAACAAGATTGGAAATGTTCAAGATCCATCCAGCCCTGGTGCAGAGCCAGTGTGTGTCACGTGCCATCGGAAAGGGAGAGCGAGGTGCAGGGCTCCGAGTCCTCTAGCCTTAGGGACGTTGTTGCACACTTGTCTTTCCCATCTGTAAAGTGGGGATAAGAGGTAGCTCTGGAGAATAAAGCATGACAGGGTGGGTGAATGAAATTGCATCTTCAAATGGTCTGAAGTTGGACTTAATTTAAGTGGGGGCGGGGAGGAAGTACCTTTAATGCACTGAGAGCTTCCATGGACGCAAGAGGAATAAAATCTCCCCTCTTTCGCTCTGAGCAAATTAAGTAACGATCGTGTGTATTAAATACGTGTACACGGTTCTATCATAAAAATTGTGTGGTTTCACCCAGGGGCTTCTCTCAAATGAAATCCTGCTTGGAAGTACTCGGTAAAAATGAGAGTGCTAGCACTAAGTGCTTACCTGGGACCCAGCAGCATAAACTCTATTTTATAAATGAAAAAGTCCAGACAGAGACACTGAGATACTAGACTATGCTGGAGGGGGAGGAGGGGGCCAGACTGTAGCTGAAGGTTTCTCCGGTCCTGCCCTGCTGCTTGGTCCCTCAGCTACTTATAAAATAATCATCCAGAGGCTTAATATTAATTACCAATTGCATGGCCTATGGCAGGCTTCTTGCTAGCTAGCTCTTATAACTTGACCCATTTCTATTAATCTATGTTTTGCCGTGTGTTCTGTGGCTTACCAGTCTCCTGGCATGCTGTTCCTTGGACAGCAGGCTGGAGTCCCTCTTTCTGCCTTTCCTTTCTTCTTCCTGTCTCTCTCTTGGATTTTCCCGCCTGGCTCCATCCTGACCTGCCATAGGCCAATGCAGCTTAACTTATTAGCCAATGGGAGCAACACATATTCATAGCGTACAGAAAGACATCCCACAGCGGGAGACACTGAGGTCATCTGGCCTCTACAGCACAGCAAGCAAAGGCTGGTGATAATAATGCTGCTTTTTCCCTGTGTCCAGCTCTGATTGCCATCCTGAATTAGAAAGCCAAAGCAAATCTTGTTTCATTCGGAAAGGGCTCTTTCTCAGTTGCTTATGCAGCACTTACTAATTTAATTTTATTTGTTTTATTCGTTATTGTCATTATTTTATTTTGTTTTGTTTTTAAGGAAGGGTATCACATAGCCCAGATTGGCCTTGAACTCACTACATAGCCAAGGCTAGCCTTGAATTTTCCTGCCTCAGCCTTCCAAATGCTGGGACTGCAGATGTATGAAGTAAATACCATACCCTAAAAGAAATTGTTCATAATCCTATTTTGTTGCTCCTATGAGTGTAATAAATGTTATATATACCACATCAATACTCAAAATAGTTAATTTGGGGAGTTTAGTAATTATCAATTAACAATAATTGAATTTAGGGCCAGAGAGATAGTTGGGAAGAAAGGTTCACTCAGGTCCCAGGAAAGAGAGAAACAATTCACATGAGTTTTCCTCTGTCCCCTACACATAGGACAGCTTGAACACATACACACACATAATTAATAAAAAAATTAATTTAAATGAAAAACAGCATTTACATCTACAACACCAGAAAATATTAGCACTGGTAGCATTTTGTATTCAAATCAAGATGTACTTGCCAGTTCTACATGCGAATTTTTCTCTTCCGAAATCTTGTTAGTGTAAAAATAACAAGTATATGAACAGCCAAACGTCTCATCAGATAATTTTAGTTAAGAACTTACAAGACCTAGGGCTACAGATGAGGCTACATGGTCCAGCCCTTTCTGATGGTGTTAACGGCCTTGGCTTTGCTCTCCACGTTTTTTTCAAACATGCTTTTCTGTTCTGTTTGTGTTTGTTTATTTAAAATAGGGTCTCACCTTGGTGTCAGGAAGTCCTGAAATTACAGGCATTCACCACCACACCTGGCTTCAAATGTGTATCTTGTGACTTTGTTACGGTAGTGATTCCGTCTATTACTCCTTTGTGAGATAAGGAAACACCAGAAAAGGGGATCAAACTAAGTATTTTGATTTCTTTTAAAATTTAAGCAGAGGAATATACTCCCTTTGGCAGCACATACACTAAAATTGGCGTAATAGAGAGAAAATTACCATGGCTCCCATGCAAGGATGACACAAAAATGCACAATAAAGTGCTCCACATTTTCCTTTAAAAGGAGAAAAAGTTAAGCAGGTGAAAGACCACTCTGGTCATTTAAGGCTACTTCTAACTTCAAAAGCAAACGTTGAGAAAAACCTAATGTGTAAATATTCATTCACTACAATTTATGCTCCAGAGTATTGGAACTGATTTTGCAGCCTCAGATTTTTAGGAAGGACTACACCATCGCTAGAGCAACCCGAGTCTTACGGGAATGATGGGCTGGGACCACGGAGCCTTGCAGGACAGTGCCAGCAAAGTACTCTCTGCCATCAAAATGTTTCCTCATTCTGCCGTTACAGTTACTCCCAAGTCATTTTTAAAAGATTCAAAGCTGTGTTTTGAAGAAACTTGGTATGGACTTGGCTAACAATGGTCTAAATACATTTTAGGATTACTCTCTGGAGAAATTGCAGCGTTTCACGCAAACGGTACCCACTTTACTCGGTTGAAATGAAAATCCCGATTCTGCTCCTCTTTGCATGTCTGTTTAAAACCTCAAACCAGAAGAGTGGGTCACGTCTGGGGACGTTTCCTTTCTTAATCTTCTTCACTCTTCCACTCTGTTTCTAAAGGAATACTTAGTGTTAACTAGGCTGCAGTTTCACTGGAAAAGAATTGAACTGGCTTTCCAGAACGAGGCAAAGATTGCCCACTGAGAGTATTTTGGCGGCTACCTTTAAACACGCAAGGATCTGTCCCGGCGGCACACCTAGAGTTAGTGCAGATAAGGTTTGGTTCTTCGAGATAGAAATGATGTCATTGTGACATTGGTGAGAAAGATGCACAGGATGCACCTTCGCTCTTCTCTTTGGTTAAGCACGGTGTTCTTTGTAGCGTTTTATTACACTGAGAACGCTAAAGACGTCAGTGAATTTCTCACATGGTGACAGCAGAAATGTCTGGTTTTGTTTTGAGTTCAAATGGTTAACTATGCACAATAATGTTTTGTGCAACCTACCACTGAGGTGTGAAAATCAAGGCATTTGGTAACAATTGTTAGCATATCATTTCTATGAAAAGAAGAGAAAGTATCGGGTCCCCAGTTTTATAAATGGGAATTAAAACTTGCACGTCAATCAAGCCAAGAAATGTCAATATTTTAAAATAAGTAAAAATTAATGGTTCCCGTGTGCCAAGCATGGTCCTTTTTTAGAAAAATTATTTGAGTAATTCCTTATAACACACAGATGAGGACACACGTGTGTGTGTGTGTGTGTGTGTGTGTGTGTGTGTGTGTGTGTGTGTATGAAAAAACATTTTACAATACACTCAGTGTCACAGACAGAATTCAAAGTCTACTACAATGTGCAATGCTGGCATCTAAAATTGTTCCTTGTTCAACAGTTAAGGAAATAATGAAAAGCATGAGTTCCTCTTACATTCTGACTACAAAAATGTAGGGGTTTTCAGTATATGCTAAATATGTATTACTCATAGATATTTATTAAGTCCCTTCTATGCTTTAGACACTGGATTAAGGGTGTTAGGGGAACAGCCTGCCCTCCAGTGATCCATCACCCCTTAAAGAAGGCAAACACTAAAAAGGTGAAGGAGAGAATGTTCCAGAATAACGATGTGGCTAGCTTTCTGAACACATATACAGTGTGTAACCTCCACTAATAAGTGCTCTATGTATCCACCAAATATAAAAATATAACCTGCCCACCATTCTTTTTGTTTGTTTGTTTGTTTTGTTTTTCGAGACAGGTTTTCTCTGTGTAGCTTTGCGCCTTTCCTGGATCTCGCTCTGCAGACCAGGCTGGCCTCGAACTCACAGAGATCCACCTGCTTCTGCCTCCCGAGTGCTGGGATTACAGGCGTGCGCCACCACCGCCCGGCTCCCAGCATTCTTAAGAGTTGTGTTGAAGGGGCTTCGGGAAGAAAATGGTTCACTTTGCCCCGAGTCCCGCATTTGAGCTGAGTCACCAGATAACTAACTGCCCCGGAGGGACAAGAGATAACCCATTCTGTACGGCTGAATCCCTTGTGACCTTGTGTTTTGTTCAAAAACCTGGTCAGATTGGCTGGTGAGAGTCTTCTCCACATTATTGGTGAAATTATTAAGGCCACTCCACATAGTTAAAAGGGAGGTTTATTTTGTGGGGTAGCTCACAAGTGAAGGGATGGTTTACAGGGTCTGGGAAAGGCGTGGTGCAGTCCGGCGGTGTTCTCTGGAGAACTCTGCTCAGGTCTGCCTCCAGTGTCCAGGGTCCAGGAACCAAGAGAGCCAGCGCATCTCAGGTCTTCAGGGTCCTCTCGGCCTCGCCTTGTAGTCATGACAGTTACCGAAGCCTCAAAGGGGATTGGAACTTCCAGATCAAAGCTGGAATGGCAGCCCACTACACCACATCTGCTCTCTAATTTCCCAACTGTAAAGCTTCCCCCGTGATGGGGGCAGCAGGAGGGTAAGAGAGAGGATTCACCGGCCTCTGTGAGACGAAAACACAAGTTTCTTGTTGGAGGCCACCCTTAGCTCTGAAAAAGCCACAGAACTTGACAATATGGGTTGCTTCACCATGGTCGTTTACTTCATGACAGTTTATTTTTTCAAAACCAGCAAGGCAGAGAGTCTCTCACCTCAGGGAGAGCACCGTTTGTTCCTCTGTAAAATCTGACAATCTTTTGAACGACTTAAAACCAGTTGATTTGGTGTATTAGCTATATCTAAATAATACAGTCATAGGCCCCACCCACATTCAAGGCAAAGAGAAGACTTATGTCATGACCACATTGCGGGGAAGGGGTAGGAAACCAAGCCACCCAGCAAGTCCTCTCAACAGGAGCCATATAAGGACCCTGATGAAGGGAAACTCAGACATGTTTTGCACGCATGGACACACACACAAATGCACACATAAACTTGATTTACAAAGTGGCTTTTAGAAAGCCAGAAAATCATCATTGTGGTCCTTTATTTCCATACCTTTAGAACTAAACTCTAATAACCCTCAAATAAAGTGTTTTTAAATGGTTTGTTTTGGCCTGGTTTGGTTTGAGTTTTTTTGTTGTTGTTGTTTATTTTTGTTTTTGTTTTTGTTTTGTTTTGAGACAAGGTCTTGTTCTATAGAATAGGCTGTCCTGGAACTCACTATGCAGCCCAGGCTGGACACAGACTCTTAGGAATCCTCTTGCCTCAGCTTCCTGAACACTGTGGTCACAGGCACGAGCCAACACACACAGCTAGTTTCAAATACTTTGACTTTAAAATAAAAATTGCTCCAAATATGCCAATTAGTAGGCTCATTACACCCAAGACCAAACTAAATTTTTTTTAAATATGAATTACTTAATATTAAAAACCAATAGGATACACATAAGCAGCATTTTATGACTTGGAAATAAGATGAAGAATATTATTACTGATGAAATTTATGTTGTATTTTATAGTTTACTATCAAAATAAGTGTTTAAATGTATATATACATACAGGCTAGCTTGTTAAATGTAATGGTATTGTTTTCAAGGATAGACATTTAACAAGTATCATGCAAGATCTTCACCCACCTGGTTTGAATACTAATGTTGCAAAAATGAAAGATACACACACACACACACACACACACACACACACACACAC